ATATATATATATATATAAATGAAGATAGTTTGAATGATAATGATTTTTATTTTTATTAACTATTATACTGGTTAATAATTTTATATTAAATATTAACTTTGTTGATTTAACCATTGAATTATAATTCCGTATCACTTTATGTGTTTATATTAAATTTTGTTAAAATTGAAGGTCATCAAAGTATTCATATTTTACTATATTTTAAAATAAATATTACATTAATTTTATTTTATAAGAATGAGGTATCAAATAATTTTGGATTAATATAAAATTTTGTATATATGATCTAGGAATAAGAATTTAATAGTAAGTTTTGAAAAGTTCACATTTAATTAAAAGTTATTGAGAAATTTAATAATTATTAAAAATTACATTAATGTTGTTTAAATGCTTCTATATATATTTTCAACATAAATATTTGATTATTATTATTATTACTATTATTATTGTTGTTATTAGCATAAAAAAGGCACTCCATATATTTTAAAAATATATGAGAAAAAAAAGTGAGTAGCTAATAATAAGTTTTGAACTAAGTGTAATTGTAAGAATATTTTTTTTAAAAAAACATGGTGGAGAGAGAAAAAGTAGTTTGAGTGGTAATTATAAGGACAAAATGGTTAAAAAATGTGTATACCAAATTAGGTAATTCTCTTTATTAATAGTAAAGATTATTATTATAATAATAATAATAATAATAATAATTATTATTATTATTATTTTTAACATACATTTTGATAGTTAATGTAGAGTTGGGTTTGAATCTCTTAAGCAAGGTCCTGAGAAGGTATCAAGTTTGAGTATAATGAATGAAAAAAAATATGGTTGAAAAAAGAGTTCTTACTAAAGATAGAATCCAAATTCTTTGAAACAACTTTGTCTCCAAAAAATTAATAGATATTTCACACTAGCCATTGGAGATTCCACATTGTCTAGGAGTATGTCCATAATAATAAATATAAATGGAGAACAGTTTGCACCTTATAAGCAATTCCACATCGTCTAGAAATAAGATCATAATAATGTATATAAGTAAGAGACAAATTTCACGTAACAAACCGATTTTGTAAAAGTTAAGTTGGGATCATAATTCACTTTTTTAAGATGGTATCATAACGTATACTTGCAATTATTTTTGGGCTTGTCAAGCCAACCACTATCAAGTTGTTATTGGATCACCATAAAATGTCTAGTTTTGCAAACTTCATACTTGAGATGTCTGATCCTCGGTGTGAAGGGGTGAATGGAGATCTTACATTGTCTAAAAATAATGCCATAAAAGTTTATATAAGTGGGGAATAGTCCCTACCTTAAAAGTTAGTTTTGTAAGATTGGATTAAACACATGATCCACTTTCTCAAAATTAATCGTGTCAAAAAAACTATTTTCATATTACTAATTAATTAGTAAATATTTTAAGTATGATTTTTAAAGTAATTAGTACAAATGGCATAATCTCATCGCATATGTCGATTTATTATTGAATGCTAATTTCATAAAACAAATTATTAAACTATTGGTATATTTAAATGAAACTCTTGTAACATTTCTATTTTAAGGTTCTGGATTTAAATTACATGTGTTGTTTGTTTAAGTTAGGAGTTGAATTAAGTAGTTCAATCTGGAAAGGTATATAAGGTTTTTCTAAAAATACGAACCTCATAAGTTTATGCTTTTAGAATTTCTAGTGAGAGGTTAGAGAGAGAGATTCTCTGAACTCAAGCTTCCTTTTCTTTCCTTATTTTAAATAATCCATCTTTCCCTTTTCTTTGTAGCGAAGCCATCCACCTAGCTAGTTGAAGGTTTCAAGGTCCTAGAATCGGAAGTCCCAAATCTTTTGTTGTGCGGAGTCCTTTTTTCTCTTCTTCTTCTTGAATTGGTTCTCCAAGAGGTAAGGGAAGCTTGATGTCTTGAATATTTTTTGTAGGGTGATGATTTTTTTTGCTTATAATCACTAGATTCATAGTTGTTATGGTTCAAAAATCCATGTGTGATGATAGTGAAGTTGACATGTTTTTGAAGCTGCTTATGAATAAGTAGATGATGATTTTCCTAAATAATTGGTTCCATGTTGAAATTGAGTTGCTTAGAGTTTATATTTGTGTTGTGATGCATTGTATGTTGAAAAAGCTTATGATTTTTGGGTGTTTGGCTCAAAATCGAGTTATGCAATAAGTGTAGAATTAGTATCACTCCGAGTGTGTTTCGTGGCATTGGACGTGACTTCAACCAGTGGTGTTCTATTTTGTTCATGTCAAGCATATGATTGGTGTCACCAAACATCACTAGAGAAAATTGCCTCGGGTTGGTGGCACCAAACATGGGTTGAATGGAACTGGACGTGAAAAGAGAGAATCGTCAAGGGTTGAAATCACGTCGAACATTAATGGAGTGACATCAAGCGTGAATTGTGTGGAGATCCTTGCATGTTGAAGTTAAGTGTGGGTTGTCTTCACACCAAGCCCAAGGTCCTAGGGGTACCAAGACAAGGAGTCCCTTGCCTCAATGGCACTGGGCAGCCCTTGAGTGGCACCAAACACAAGTTGCATGATGAAAGTTGTATTGTTTTAAGATGTTTTATAGTTAAATGATAGTGATAAGTTGTGAGATGAAGATGTATGATGGTAAATGCATATATGTTGTAAATTGATTTAATATATGATGATATTTGTGTTGTTAAGTTTTAACTTGATTTATGAATACGTTGAATAAGTTGTGAGATGTTGTAAGTTGAATAAGTTGTAAAGTTGTATGATGATTAAGTTGTTCAAGTTGTTAACTTGTTAAGTTATAGGCATCTAATTGATAGCATTGAATCACTATAAAAAAATTACTAGATTTTTCCTAAAGATTTGTAACAAAGGAAACAAGTCATTCTTCTCGAAGACACAAACTAATAGAATCCAAATTTATCATGCAATCAAGAAGGGGATTTTTATGAACAACACAAAAAAAATATAATATTACAAACATAAATAGAAAATTCAACTAGAAATTATATTGATTAAATATTTCAATTGTTACAGTAAAATTTTGACAGTTCAAACTATATATAATCCGAATTCAATCAACCTAAATAAACACTAATGTAATATAAATCTAGATGTATTGAATTTCATAAAAATGTTAAAAGCAATTGTGATCTCACAATTTTCATGAAATTCAAAGAATGCTAAATGATTTATTTATGTGATTTAGATTATTTTAGGTTTAGATCTAGAACCAAAATTAATCTTCAAATTTGATTTGATTCTATTAAAACAAAATTCATAATGACAAAGAACAAAATATATATATATATATATAATGGAGAAGAAAATAAAGAGAAATTATGTGGTGAAAATAGATTGGAAATTTCACTGTAAGTCTTAAAACCTCAAATTGAATGAACAAATTAGCCACACATCTTCATCAAGATGCATGTTGCAATTATTACGTGTAGAAAAATGTAAAGAAAAAATTATAAGAGAGAAAGAGATAGAAAAAATTTAGAGAAACTTGTAAAGGAAGCAACTCTAAAATATGAAAAATAAGTGTAAAACGTAAATAATAAGTCTTACAACACCTATTAATAGAGCAACATAGTGGGCCTAATCAAAATATTTACAAGGTTTGGCCCACTAATCAACTAATTAAGAAGGTTGGACTACTAATACAATAAGTTCCTAATGTAAATCCAAAATGAAGCGTAGAGGTGTAAAATTGAAGTGAATTGTGGACCTTAAATGTTTGAACTGGGTTAAATTCCCAATAGGGAAGTTGTAGAGCTTTGTCTGATTTCCATGGATACCAAGAATGCCCAATTCCGAGTTTGGAAGCTCTAAGTATGTCTTGTACA